CGGGCACATTCACGATGTCGTCCCTGATGCCGTCGCCGCGGGTGCCCCAGGCGTCAGTAGCACGCTTAGCAAAAACCACGACCGCGGCGAACGAAGATCTGCCGCCGTTAAGAAATCCCGGGCACATTCACGATGTCGTCCCTGATGCCGTCGCCGCGGGTGCCCCAGGCGTCAGTAGCACGCTTAGCAAAAACCACGACCGCGGCGAACGAAGATCTGCCGCCGTTAAGAAAAACCGGGCACATTCACGATGTCGTCCCTGATTCCGTCGCCGCGGGTGCCCCAGGCGTCAGTAGCACGCTTAGCAAAAACCACGACCGCGGCGAACGAAGATCTGCCGCCGTTAAGAAATCCCGGGCACATTCACGATGTCGTCCCTGATGCCGTCGCCGCGGGTGCCCCAGGCGTCAGTAGCACGCTTAGCAAAAACCACGACCGCGGCGAACGAAGATCTGCCGCCGTTAAGAAATCCCGGGCACATTCACGATGTCGTCCCTGATTCCGTCGCCGCGGGTGCCCCAGGCGTCAGTAGCACGCTTAGCAAAAACCACGACCGCGGCGAACGAAGATCTGCCGCCGTTAAGAAATCCCGGGCACATTCACGATGTCGTCCCTGATGCCGTCGCCGCGGGTGCCCCAGGCGTCAGTAGCACGCTTAGCAAAAACCACGACCGCGGCGAACGAAGATCTGCCGCCGTTAAGAAATCCCGGGCACATTCACGATGTCCCAAGTAGCACACCACGTCGGGTTGGGGATGGGGCGGTATTGGCTTGCCGGGATACTAATACCGGCCAGTACCGGAAACGCCCCAAGGGGCGACATTGGCCGGGCCCGAATGCCGGAATCCGGCCGGTACCGGGAACTTATTGGGAAACCGGGATGCCGGGAATACGGGATGTTCCCAGTGAGCTCCCGGCATAGATCCCCGGCATGGAACCGGCGGTACGGTAGAAAACCATCAGTGTGCCAGCGTATTTCCAGGTCAGAGCCAGTCCAATTGCAGATTAGTCCCAGCGTAACAGATCAGTGCCAGTGCAATTGCGGATCAGCGCCAGCGTATTTGTCATTCAGTGTACTCGGCATAGAACCACCAGAATGCTAGCTGTGTCAGGCTTTTAAAGCCCAGGTATGACATCCTACTGCATTAAAATTTTGCAGAGCTAGCTTCTCACTAGATCAAATTCACTTAAATGTGGGAATGCTGAATTTCTCAGTCCGAACTATTTTATTGGTTTTCATATCTTTTATAGGTGCCGACCGTTTTTAATATGTTTTTCGGACTTCGACCGAAACAAGCTAGTTTAGTATTTGTGCAATTTTAAGAAACAATACTGTGTGAACAATTAACTTTCTCCATGTACAGAGTATACTCATGGCAATTATTGTATACTTGTTGAGACGACATGTCCCATTCATCTGTCACCCAGATGCATATTGCGGGTAGTACAAGAAGGGAACATAAAATATTTTTTTTTACCGTGACATTCTTTATTTTGACTTGTGCATCCATAGCAGCTAGCTCCTCAGCCAGTGTCTCTCATCGTTGAAGGTGGTTGGAACCACCATTGGAGCGTCCGTCTTTTTAACTGTATTGCCCCTGCCCGCCTCCCTGCCTGTCAGCCGCTCCTCCATCGCGTCCACGCTGCACCCTTGAGCACGACTTTGTATGGCACCTGTCAAGAGAATTGTCAGATAACACAGATTAGTTGCGAAATAGGGGAAGCCAATATCTCGCATACTAGCTAAGGTGCTGTTCACACACTGCAGTTTGTGAGCGTTTCCTTTGTGTAAACATAGGTCGCTCACCTAGCCTGCAATTCAAAGGTGACAGAAAGAGAGAACCGCAGAGGCGGAGATTCTGGGTTTGGCTACCATGCTAAGGAGCAGATTCTATGGAGGCATATGGCTATTTCAGGCAACATCCTATTAATCTGAAATGGGGGGCAAGACGGGCGGAGGGCGAGAGGGGGCAGGGCGCAGAGATGAGTGGCTAAAAAGAGAGAAAAGCTTCCCCAACTGACACTCTACAGACCAAGGCCTCTAAGTGGTCTTAATTAGACTTTCAACCTGGAAACTAACAGGATAACAAGACAAGACCAACCAAATCTTTTTTTCACAGCTACTTTAAAACGCTGCTTTTGGGTATGAAGGTTCTAAGAATGCTAACGCGAGAGTTATTCATAATAAAGAATGCAAGTCGAATTAAAAAAAAAAAAAACGACAAGAACTGACGACTTAAATTTTGCATGCTGCAAGACTTTAAGGGAAACTGAAGCTGTCTTGTATTTGAGGAACAACACCAAAATAGTCTTAATTTGGCCTCCAGGATTACGAATATCAAAATTATTTTTTCATCTGGTGCACGGAGGCTGCAGGAACTAATTTCTAAAGTACAGCTGAAGCCCCTCCTTCCCGGGGCGTGACGTCATACTGGGAGTTTTCGGAATTTCTGCTCTCACTCATGTTCAGCTCCTGTCAAACCTATGCACGTGAACTCTTGCTATTTTTAAAAAGGTCAGAAATAGATGTCACGACTAGCGTCAGTGTGGAAAAATACAACTGGCAAGCTTGCAATTACACGCGCTGCCCACACGAGCAACACATACTTGGCGGCCCAAAGATCCTAGTACGACGTCACGACTGGTCTGAGGTTTTTCGTGTTTTCTCGTTTCTAGTTACACCTTCGGGGAAAACGAAAGCGATATTTCCATTCACAGGACAAAAATATGCCAGAAGACACCTCAACTCTTTTTTTTTTTTTTTCAAGAAGTGTTTCAGCTTCCCTTTAATTGTCAACATGTTTCAAAGATTTTGCTTGTCTATTGAGCTCCAATAGAGATACCATCAATTTAATAGCTAATAATGAATATGCATTACCAATGACCACCTTGCACATCATGGCGTCCTTGAACCTTGACTTTCCTTGGTAGTCCAGAAGGGAGAACTGCTCCTGGACTTGCTTTGAGAACAGGCGACCCACCATCTCTCGCACCACCTTCTGCAGGTTCTTGCTGTCTCCTAGAGACACAAGCTGCTCCTCCTAGAAAGACAAAAGGTGTTCTCAATATGTCAATAAAGTTATTCACATGCAGATACAATGGTATGAACATGTCTCAAGTAAGAGAATGTGAATGCCCAAATAAATGCAGCAAGCTACACTATACACGCATCAAAATCTTACAATATTTACTGGAGAGAGAGTAAAAAATATTTGAATATATGGCAACTCAACCTGTCTTAGAGGAAACCAGAAAGATTAAAATATTTTCCTTCATACTCCGCTAAATCTCATTAGTCAGTCACATTCGTTGCATCGTCCAAATTGTGCGAACGTTTTGATGGATCATCTTTCCTCATCAACATCCACTCAGTAATTTTAATAACGTATGTGGTTCTCAAAACAGTGCATTCAAGACCCTGCGCATTTTGAATTTGTTAAAGCTTAGTCTGCCGAGTAGTCACCCTGAAAATTTATTGCCTATTTTACGACTTTACAAAGATTGGAATTGAAAAAGGCATAAGAAGCAGGAATTGACGAAAACCGTCTTCATAGTCGCACAAAATGCCAACAGCAGCACACTGTGAGTAGTTTTCTTCCCATATTTTTGTTTAGTGCTCACTCAGTGGTGGCCCTGTAGGCCAATGAACCAACTTACTCAGCTCAAGCCCGCCACATGTAATATTCGCTTGTGTGACTAATGTATGCTATGCCTGAAGACACAGCTACGCATGCACTCACACCCCCTGAATGAAGAGGCGGATGTAATGACAGTTAGTCTTTCACCTTAGAAAATTTATTTGCTCTCATAGGGTGACCTTCGGTTAGGACAGATTAACATCCCATTTTGGAAATATACTACTTATGTAAAGTAAAGATGGAATTAATTAAAATTTATCCGGCAAACTTTTACGAATGTGTTTGGTCATACGCATATGGTGGGCACGCTCAAAAGCGATTTTGGACCAGGCTAAAAGTTATTTTCAAGCATGTACACTCTCCGGCAATATGAAAGACCCACTGGGAGAGCGTGGCCGGGGCGGTGGCTGGCGGGGGCGTTGCGAGCGCCCTGGGCAGTACCATTCTGCTTCGAGGGGAGGACACTCACTTGAGGATCAGCTGAAGCGCAACGAGCTTATCAGTTTGTGCTGAGCCCCGAGTGAGCGTCCTCCCCTCGAAGCAGAATGGAATTGCCCGAAATGCTCGCAGCGCCCCCGCCAGCCACCGCGCTCCCAGTGGGTCTTTCATATTGCCGGAGACTGTACCTTTACTTCTGTAGCAGATGCCAAAAGCACAAATGAATTTATTGCCTTAAATATATAGATCTCTTGACTATAGCCTCAAGTGAGAACAGGAATAAAACCAAAAGAAGCCCAATATATACTACAGCATCTCGATCCTTCTGCCAAGCGAGCGTTAAACACAAAAAGCATGCAGGCGGTTATGTGCTTGCTTCGCACACATACTCACGGCGAGAGTTGTTGCAGGTGCAAAATTTAACTTCTAAGGATAAAACGGGCAGAGGTGTCGTGGGAAATCAGCATGATTTATGATTATTTGCAGGCCAACATACTGTAAGCACCCCGAGGCCAATGTGTTGGGCGATTTCACTTCCCCCGTTGTAGAATGGTTTACTCCAAAAAATTTCAAGAAAAATGCCGTTCAATGAGGATGCACATGAAGGCCTCTTGCCTACACGACCTTCGGGTGGAAAAAAACCTCAAAAATGTAACGACGCACAAACACTTAATTTTTGGTGGCCACCGTCCAGCATTTCTCCCTTCAATAGCCTCAATGAATCGCAGTTTAACAATTGCAGAAACTATACGCACGCTACTAAAGCTGACTTGCAAAACGTGCAACTGGCGTTGCACCACCTTGACACAATTCTATCGCAGGGTTCAGTTTAAGGATGTCCTCTACAATAAATAGCCTTCCATCGTGCATTGGCTGTGCGTGCACTCTGCTGTTATAAATAACAGAAGGCCCGTAATGAAGGTGGGGCATCTTACTCATTTTTAATTTGCCACCGACTGTGCTTAAAACACAGTTTGAGTGGGCGTACATTTGAAATATTACAGTAAGTGGCTTCAGTCCACATTTCAACCCCATTTGCATAAATATTCAGATAACCCAAGTTAAACCACAAAGTAATAATTGCAGCCTTATACCTGTCATTATTGTGAAAAAGAGGACACATAAATACCGGCAGTGTCCTGTTGGTGAAGTTCTTCAGCTGTGCTTCTGCAGCACAAAACTGTTCCATGTTGCTGAGAGGCATCAGGAACAGCTCGCGTGGTTCAGGCCTGGCCAGTTCCTGGGGTGCCGCCTGTTCCCTGGGCCCGCCTGTTCCCTGGGCCTCGCCTGCTCTCCTGGTGCTTGAAAGACACCACGTGCCTGAGCACCTGCCCAACGGACTTGCAGTTGTTCTGCTGCTGTAGGTGCCCATTCTGGATGTGCAGGTCGATCACGACCTTAGCAGCTGAGCGTCGAAGGCTGCAAGATAAGCAAGGCATAAGAAAGCATTACCCATTTTGCTGATCGACATTATGCACTGATAATGGGAAGAAACTTTTCAGAAACATAGGTTTCGGGAAGTTTCAGAAGGACGCTCAAACCTTAAGGTGTTTCGCATGGGTTTGGGTAGCTTTGGAATGGCTGCCAGACACAGTAAGAGTAATTCAAATTTTTGTAGAAATTTAAGAGATGTTATAATTTGTACGCAATATTTATAAATTTAATAAAAAAAACATTTGTGTTAATCAAATAACCTTTCTGAAGGGGAGAAACTGCCCCAATTTTCGGAACTTCACAGTTTTGGCTTATATGGTCAATAATGAATGCTCCCACAAAGTTTTATAATGTTTTTTGACAATCAAAGCAAATAAAAAGCAATATTAATTTGTCGGCGACGCACATGAGACGCGCTGCGCTTGGCTGCGATAAGCACAAGTTTAAAAATCCGATATATAGGTCCGTGGCTGTTAGGCCTAGCCCGGTGCCTGTACCCTCGTTAGAACTGCCATTTCCTGGGCTATCAGGACGGCCTTTTTTTAAACTATCAACCGTCTAAAAATCGGAGAGAATCCCGTAAAGAACACTTGCCCTGGGATAAAAAAACGAAACTCGCGCTGCAAGCGGCTGCTCTGTGGTCACATAATACCTCAAGCCTAGGCATATGACGCTTTAGAATGAATTGGCACTTCCAAGTGAAGCACGGGTCGTCAATTGCGTCCCTCGTTAAATAGCAGAAGTTCCCAATGCAAGTTTGTTTTCTATCGCTTCACTCGCAGCATACAGTGCGTAACAGATGATCCACCTTTCTTCAGTTCTGGTAGCAGACGACGCAACGGCGTCTTGTTTCCCGCAGCAAACGACTCTGGGACAGACAAACCCTCCCCCTTTACGCGTTAGCAGGCGACGTGACTGTTAAACAAATGTCAGCTCCTCCAGTACAAACCTGCCGAGATCTCAGTCTCACCAACTACCAAAATCTGGCCATTTGTACAATATTTCAAGGTACTAACACAAGCTGCACAGCACGGCGCCGAAGCGAACTTGCTGCACATAAAAACAAGTCTCTAAGCCGTCCGTCGAACCTCTCCAGAGTAGGACAGTACCACGGCTGTTCTTGGCAGCATGCAATGCTTTCCCACAGCATTATGAGAAAGTTTTGTGACCAGTAGCGTATTGAAGGACTCGGTCACTACTGTAAATGTGCATGTGTCGCTATGAAGATTATGGAGCTAGCTAAATTGAGCAACTGCACGCAAGCTAATGTGGTCAAGCATGCGAACAGAGGGCAGCTCAAAAACGTGTGCTAGCACATCATCAGGAGTTTAAATGAAAAGGAACAGTACAAAATAATACTTACTGCATTTTTGCAAACTTGATGCTCTGAATGAAGGTCAGTCAGGGTCTGGTGCACGGGACAAGATGTCAGCCCCAGACATTTTGCTTGGCCACACGCCGTTGTTTCATACTCACGACGAACCACAACAGAGGAACGGACGCCACAGTTATTTCGTCATTCTCTTCGATGAATTGTACTCCTCCTCACTAGAATGAAAGGCGTGGTAAGACATGATGTTCATTCAAGTTACTTCAAACTGTCAAGTCTTCGCAAGCTTTAGCATACATTATAACTCCATGGCTATATCCGCATGCACGGCCACAATGAAACACAACGACGTCGCATTCCGGAATACGCCAAGTGATAGAAGTAGCGGTAAAAAAGAAACAAATGGTGCTCATTGTGCGTAAAGGTCTGTTTACATCATGCTTTGTAGCTTTTTACTTGCAACGGTTTGTGATGCCAACGTTTCGCACAAGTAGCTTATTTACATCCAGTTTTTCAAGCAACCGCAATGGCGTTTCGACAATACTCCGTTCAACCTTAAAGGGCAACTCCACTCGATTTCGGAAATTTTGAGATAGTGGGTGATATAAACGTGAAAAGTACTTCAAAACAACCCTAGACCGTTTGTCTCATTAAAAGCAAAATATTTTTCGTGCGATCTTGTTATTTACCACAATCGCAAACCGAAACTGAAACTTCGGCACAGCCGGGCAACTTTGTACTCTCAACGACAGTTGCATACGCACCCACGTGGAATACAAGGGGTCACGTGATCTACTAGCGGTAACCCAAGAAAGACGCGGATGCGAGGGGAAGGGCGAGGAGGGAGGAGGGAGGGCGGGCCTAGCCGCGGCGGCGAACAGGCAACGCAAGCAGCAACGAAGCAGGCTATGTAGGCGGCAACCCAGGCGGCTAGTCGGTTGGCACCGGTTGGCAGGTGTGTCAGCGAAACTCATCCCCGTACAACACTCTCTCCCTCTTTTTGTTTCTCTTGTTCACGTTCTTTTTCTTTTTTTTTTGTCTGTTTAGCCCATTGATCTCTATTGTAGCAGGCTCGCCTCTTTGCTTGCTCAAACGTGGAGCGCGTTTGTAGCGCCGCCCGGTAAGCTCTCCCTGGAAAAGAAAATACCAAGAAAAAACTGCGTATGCAACAGACGTCAGCCACAACGGAAATACAAAGTTGGCTGCGCCGCACGTCGCCCGCTAAATTAGCGAATTTTGGTGACTTCGCGCGTCTCCGTTTTTGTCGGCCGGTTTAGTGATGTTTTAGGCGGTATTACGTTATAATATTTGACATTCGGTCTCTCTAAATGACAGTAAAGAGAGTCGCAGTGTTCGCTAACAACCGAGAATGAAGCGGAGTTTCCCTTTAAGCTGAGACTAGAAGCTCCGCCTTTAACGCGAGCTTTCTGCCCTTGCTAAAACAAGTGCGAACGCGCAGTCAGGCGCAACCAAAGCACTGCAGAAGCCAGCGAGCTCGTGCTGAAGGCGGAGATTCTAGTCTCAGCTTAAGGGCGAACGGAGTATACATTCCTTGCATATGACGATACGCTAGGTGAAGACGGGGCCCTGTGCCATGCTGGTGGTGGACTTCACAACGCGCGCACGCGCTTATCAAGGCGTACTATGCCGCTAACTGCCTGGACATACACCGTATTTTCATCGAAGGTACCTAGTTTTGTTTCATGTGAACTTGGAAAAACGAGCAGTGCTTACTATGATGACGTTAAGCCAGCACATGCGGAATTTTTCAGCATTGGTGCGATTGCGCTACGAGCAGAAAGTTTCGATATGCCGTTAAGTTATAATGCAAAAAAAAAAAAAAAAAATGTGTCGCAAAAAAAAGAAAAAAGAAAAAAAAACGCATTGCGCGCAGCAAAATTTGACGAGGGGCTCTAGGAGTCACCTGTAAAAAAATTGTTACGACTGTGCGAAGTATGGTAGCCAATGTAAGGTTACCGTGATAATCTAAACCCTGATCGAAGGATAAATAAAATAACGGACAAGCGTCTCGTGGACGGCACAACCCGATGCCCCGGCAGCGGCATCTCGGCGAGCTTGCATGCCTCCTCCTACACGGCGCGGTCGCCCCCTGAGACCGCCTTGATCTCCGGACACCGTGCGGTGCCAGCCACGAGCGCTAGAACCCCACCCACCCGTCCGTCCGACCGTCCGCCCGTCTCCCTCGGATGAAGCGCGACGATGGGACGACGAGCTAGCGGGACGGTGAGACGACGCCCCCGACGCCCGACTCCTTCTATTTCTATCTTCTCCCCTCACCCTACCCCAAGAGTCAGTGACAAATGCGCCTAGCGCGCGCACAGGATTGACTCTATTCCCCCCCTCCCACCCCCCCTAATTTCACTTCAACGCTTACAACAACACACGGAGGCCGCCGCCGCCGCCGCCGCCGCCGACCGACCGATCGCCGTCTCGCCGATCTCGCCAGGCTCGCGGCGCGACACTCGCCCGTATTCGGCCGGGCGCCCCGAAGGTGCGCTCGAAGCGTGGAAACGGCGCGATGCAACGAAAGGCAAAGGGCATCTACACCACGCACGGGCATAAGCCGATGCAAATACGTGCGCGAACGTAAACGGTAGAAAAGTGCCGTCGCTCGCCACTATGAAATAATCCGCGGCCGCATCCCTTTCCTGCTGCTCGTACCATCTCTTAGTTGACAGCTACTCCGTCTCGCGGGACATGCCGAGGAAACGATCGTCGGGATACGGCGAAAGGCCGTCGAGTCAACCACCAGCATGATGCTTACCGGCGTTGTTGAGCAAAGTTGGTTCACTAGGCCTACGTACGACCAAACCGACAAAACACGAACATCAAAATCAAAGCACGGGCGGGTAACTTCGAGCGATTTCTGCCCCGCATAGATTTACACGCAGCGCTTTCACTCGCCACCACGGTCACATGCAATTCTTTTAACCCAGGAGCCACCGTACCTGATCCACGCCACGAACCACACCAACGAAAAATCAACACACACTTTGTCTCACTCGCCATTGTCGTTTGCTTACTTTGTCCGGCTTTGGATTGGATGCTGGATCGGCTTTCTAGCAAAGTCTATCAACAGCTGGCTGGATGCTGGATGAGGTCTGTTATAGTCGTTATAGTCTAAACACGAAGCCCCAAATATATGGTTGTGCTACTGTGTTACTCTAAATAAAGAAGAAAAATTAAAAAAAAGAAAAACGAGAATAGGAAGGGATACCTGACGTTTTACAAAGTGCACTCTGGGAACTTGTTGGCCACTCAGTTTCGTTTTCGATTGAGCAGCTTCCTTTCATAATATCAGGCCGTAACCGAATGCGCCGCTTGCGTTTTCGATTATCGGACTTTTCACGAATGTACATACACACCATTGTTGAACGATACAAAACTAAGACTGGGGCAATTTTCTTGCTTCCCGAAACACCGGATATTGTGCGTGCGTGTGCAAATGTAGTAAGACGTGGCTTAGTCACCTCACCCGCGAGTGCATCTTTGAGCTCAATTTGAAAAATCCTGTCTAGTACCAGTGAACTACAACTGAAATTTGGTCACCTTGAGCCTTACACGTATTTTGTTTCCAAACGTCCGCTTCTTGTTTCTTCATTGGGCAAAATGCAAGCCGCATACTCACAGGAGTATTAAAGTTGAGCCCAGCGTTGACGCATGAACGTTTAACTGCACAAAAATTACAATGATGTCTTCCTCGTGTCATCAAATATCGCCCACTCAAACTTTACGCTGATAGGAGAATAGGTTTTCGCAAACACTGAGGTCGGCTAGCTGTGACGGAAGCTCTAACAAGCGTCTCCTACTCCTCGCTAAGCCTTTTTTAGCGAGCTTTTTTTACTGACGCCCAAGATCTGAGTCTGAACGGTGTGTCTGAAATTATCTCGGCGTACTCAGTCAGGAAGAAAGCTAACACATAAATATTACGGCCATTAGCAACCGTCAAATGCACTTTGAATAATTTCGTTCGTTTGGCACACCGCATAGAGGGATCACGCCCGTCCGGCATACTTCCGGCAAACAGTGCGACATTCTTCACACAATTGCTCGACTTTTGCTTTCTTAAAACGGTTTGTATGTGGAAATGTGCCCATATGATTGCAGAATAACTTTATTTGCATACGCGATGTTGAGTATTAGTGGAATGCAAGCGGGTGGGGACATAGCTTTGTGCAGTGCTGCGGCTCAGTACAGATAAGAGGTAAGAAGTGTGTTCGAATTGAGCTTTTCAATGGCGCCTCCGAGTTTCACCTCACGTACTCAGGCGTATTAAGAAAAACAGTAGTCACAAAAATTATACTTCGTCTATGGACGCGCAAAACAAACAAACTTCCTAACCAGCTGTAAATGATAATGATAATCTTTATTAGCTCAGGAGAGCCGTGGCACCGCGAAAAGGCGACAGCCCGTACCATGGAGGCCCGCGGTGCCACGTCTAGTGATGATGATTATGAGATGATATGTACAAGGGGGGGACGACGACGTATAGATGTATGCAAACTTATTGGTCGTTACAGCTTGTTGAGTCGTACACAAGCAAGATACCGGAGCTACGCAGCGTCGAGATTCCCAGCACTGGATCGTTCACGTGTATCTCGAAACGCTAACAGAAAGGCTCGATCATGTACAGAAATACAACAAGCATGTGTGAAGACAAGCTATACGTCTCGGGCTTGTGCTATCTTCGAGGTCTGGCCATTTAGGTTAGTTTAGAGACCAAAAATGATGCTCTCGGGACCAGAAAACTCGAGATCACAGCCGTTAATAGTCCACGCTCTCTGTATAATCTCTTGTCAACGTGTCGATCGAAACCGAAACCATGCTACTCTCCTCCCTGGCCAACTAGTTCCCAGAGTGTAATGCGCGCCGTGTTGCATGCAGGGGTTTATGGAAGTAGCACATAGAATCCCCTAGCAGTGGTAGCGAGAAGCAGATCTGGTTTTAATAAGCGCGTAAGGGTTCAATTTAGTGACCGTTTCTGGTTGAAAATAGGGTGCACGTGATGTTTCTATTACGATCATGCAGAACGATGTAAGAAAAGAATGTGCCGCCCAAACTGTGTCGTCCTCGGACAGACGTCTCGGACCCGGAGTAGTTCTCCGCGCAGCCTTTTTCGGGGGAGTACGATCTGTAGTCACTCGCAACATTTCAGTTTCGTTATTAATGTTGCCGCAAGGGAATGAAGGAATTTCGCTGCTTTTTTTGTTTCGATTGCTGGGTGGGCTCTCTTGCTGTGTTTACTTTCGTTCTTATTGTCATGACCGACTGGGCCGAGCATACTGCGGCGATGACATCGGTGCAGTTAATTTCAGGAGGTCTAATAAAACGCGGTAGCAGCGAAATCAGCGACAGCGACGAATATACCAGCTTACCTCCAGCTCGAGCGACGACGAGGCAGCTGTTCTCGGCGAAGTCTTTGCCGACTCATTCGCCTTGCCAGCGAAGAGGCCCAAGCTATGGCGTTACGTCGAAGACGTTGTGCGCGCCTATTCGGATGAAGAGCCAATACGCCAAATACTCCGCAGATGGAACTCGCCTTCGGAGATGACAGTCGCTTTACGGCATGCGTGTTTGGTATTGCTTAATAGACCCTTTGCAAAACGTACAGCGCCACGACGGAAGGGAATATGGGAACCCTCGGTACAGATCACGCGCACGCGCTTTCTCGTTGCGCCTCCGCGACTGCGCGCGCATCCCAGCAGCGATACCGCCAGCAGCCGTCTCAGCCATCCGCCGAGTCGTACGTCGTTGCCGGCGTACCGTATCTGAGGCAGCGCAAAGGCATCGCGACAGGTGAACTCATTTCAATACTTTATTCGTCGTAACTTACCTTCACGTACTGAAGTGTCGCCGAATCCATCTAGTTTGCACCGCAACCGTGTCAGGTTTCGACCAGATTCGACAGAGCGTTGGTGCAGCAGACGACAGAGCCGGTTCAAAGGAGAGGGATGTGAAAGGGGCAGCCGTCGGCTTCTCTGTTGCCGTGGTAACCTGCACCTGCTCGTGTATGCCACGTGACTACACCGTGGCCACGTGGTAGCGGGAGGAGGGGCGTAGCGAGGACTCCCATTATTTGTCGCGCGGCGCGCGCGGGCTTTTGGGATTTTTGCAAAGGGTATATTGCATCCTACGGCTCGTACAAAAGTACTTGTCTTCATCGGGTTTATATAACTGCAAGGAAAAATAAATAGTGTCTCAACATCGGGGTCACCGTTAATCAAGTAGTAACAATCAACATTTTTGTCAAAGCATTAAGTTCCGATCAGAACTTCATGCTTTCAGCAAGATAACAATGGGAACCGAAACTGTTAATAAGCAAGGGCACACGCTGTGAACGCGGTGGCAGCGCGTGCCACTGGGGTGGATCGCTCACTGAGGCCGACCGCTCAACGAACGCTAGCACGGAGCGCTCGGCACCTGCCTGGGGAAAGGGCTGGATCGCGCATCCCCGTTTGGTCGCTGCAGCTGCAGCGCGAGAGTAAAGCCACCGGTCGGCCATCTTCCATGTTGAAAAATCACGTTTTTGGAGCGTTGCGGAGGCTGGCGGCAGCATGCTGAAGACATGTTTTCTACTCGTTCCAGCCATTCGTTGAAGAAGCTCTTTAAAACCCTGTGTAAGCCGTGAGACTTGCCGTTGAGAACACGTGGAATTTTTTTACGGAAGCGCAGTGCCGCAGTAAAAATGCCCAACTCATCGAAAGCAAGTTTCGCCGCCACGATGCAACACGCAGATCACAAGTGACCCGCGCGTTGCATCATGGGGCTTTTCCCATAATGGAACGCGCGGGACCCTTCTGACGTCATTATAGGAAACGTCCCATAATGCAATGCGCGGGTCACGAATAAGACGGCACATTGCACTATAGGACATTTCCCATAACGCAACGCGTGGTTACGCCGACGGCGTTGTTGGCGTCGCCGACCCGCGCGTTGCATTATGAGACGCTTCCCATAATGCAACGCGCGGGTCACAAATGAGACGGCGCGTTGCATTCTGGGACGTTTGCTATAACGCAACGCGCGGTTACGCCGACGGCGACGTTGGTGTCGCCGTCGCCGACCGCGCGTTGCATCATGGGACGCTTCCCATAATGCAACGCGCGGAACCCTCGTGACGTCACACATGCCGTCATTACGGGAAACCTCCCATAATGCAATGCGCAGGTCACGATGAGATGCGCGTTGCATTATGGGACGTTTCCCATAATAAAACGCGCGGTTACGCCGGCGGCGACTGCGACGGCGATGCCGCTCAAGCCGGAAACGGGCACCTAAGAGCTGCGCTCTAAGAAATTATTAGATGTAAGCCAAATTAAATTTTCATTCCACAGCCATTTTTGATCCCGTCCTGTTTAACAAAACGGAAATAAGCCTTTGTTAACTGGTTCAAGGATGACGCGGCGTTAATATTAGGCTAAGTATAATATTAGGTGTCACCTTTTAGAATATTGAAGACATGTCCAACCTAACGGTCATTTGTAACCATAGTATAATATAAATATAACCATAATATCAAAACTTGCATCGCTCGAATGGCCTGTGAAAGCAGCGAGAAAACAATGTCGGCCAGTCACCGGGAACTCCATGGCTGAACTGGCCGGTGATTACAGAAAGAAAACGATGTCGGCCTGTCAGCGGAAACTCCACGGCTAGACTGGCCGGTGACTACAGCAAAAAAACGATGTCGGCCAGTCACCGGAAACTCCACGGCTAGACTGGCCAGTGACTACAGCAAGAATACGATATCGGCCAGTCACCGGAAACTCCATGGCTAGACTGGCCGGTGACTACAGCAAGAAAACGATGTCGGCCGGTATCGGGAACTTTCCGGCAGGAACTGGCCAGTTTAGACAACGAGTCCCCGATATCGGCCGGGGCCGGTTTCTTACCGGCGTCCCTGGCCGGGATCCGCCGTACAGCTCCCGGTACTGGCCGACGTAATCCCAGTATCGGCCGACATGGTGTGCTACCTGGGGTCGTCCCTGATGCCGTCGCCGCGGGTGCCCCAGGCGTCAG